GCAAATTGCTCGGAACCCATCCTGCTCAGACCTTTTGGCCGCCCCCAAACTCGAGGCCGGCGGCGGCTCGAGCCAGGCTCGCCTTGGACGATCTGTCGGCCACGCGCAGAGGGGGGTGGGGGGAGGGGGGAAGGCTTCTCAGAAGGAGGCTGCTTCTGAGGAGGCGCGGGTCTCCGCTGCAGATGTCAGGCCCGCGCCTTCTCAGAAGCAGCCTCCCTCTGAGCAGCCTTCCCCCCCCACCCTCCCCCCCCCCCTCTCCCCCTACCCCCCTCCCTTCACCCCTCTGTGCGCGCCGCGAAATCCGTGGTCTCGGATCGCGCGGTTCGCACGATGTCGGTGGGGCGACGTTGTGCGTCGGCAGAAGCGAAAGGCCCGCCGTCGACACGACGGGGCTCGGCCGTTGGGGGCGCGCGCGCGCCCGCACCTCGCGTTCCCAGCAGCGGGGCTCTGGGGTTGGGCCCAGGAGGAAAAGGAGGAGGAGGAAAAGGAGGAAAAGGATGAGAAGGGAAAGGAGGAGGAGGAGGAGGAGGAGGAGGAGGACGAGGACGAGGAGGACGAGGAGGAGGAGCAGAAGGAGGAGGAGGAGGAGGAGGAGGCGGAAGAGGCGGAGGAGGAGGCGGTGGCGGAGGCGGAGGCGGAGGCGGAGGCGGAGGCGGAGGCGGAGGCGGAAACGGAGGCGGAGGCGGAGGCGGAGGCGGAGGCGGAGGCGGAGGAGGAGGCGGAGGAACGAGGAGGAACGAGGAGGCGGAGGTGGAGGAGGAGGATTTGGAGGAAGCGGAGGCAGGGGCTGAGGAGGAGGAGGAGGACGACACAATAATGATAATACATACAATCAGATTAATCATGCTACGAGTAAGAACAACAAGAAACACACCAATAACAATCATGATATTATTCACCATACAAAGAATACTACTTATTTGATCGCTTCGCTCATTCCGCCGTCCCTGGAGCGCTATTTGGGGCCTCTTGGGGCCGTCTTGGGGGCTTCTTGGGGGCTTCTTGGGAGCGTCTTGGGGCTCCCTGGCGGCGTATTGGACTCCCCTGGGGCCTCTTGGAGGGCTCTTGGGGGCCCCTTGGGGCGGGAGGGGGGGGGTAGTCGATTGCAGCCCCCCCCGCGGAGGCCACGATCCTCGTGAGGGGTGGCGAAAAATAGCCTCCCCCTTGGGGATCGCCTGGGACCCAGCCGGGGATCGGCCGGGGTACTGTTCGCCCGGGGCCCCCCAGGGGCCGCCCCGCGCGCGAACTAGAAATATTGTTAAGTAGTTACCGGGGATTTTAACACGCCTCTGGCCCGTTGGGCCGGCGAATTATACTAAGCATACTATGATACGAATGAACATAATGATTAATACTTTAACGTCGAATAATATCAATCCTAACAGCAGTACTATTAGTACAGTAAAATCGTAATAATATTAAACGCAGCAGTATTCACGATATCAACAATGCGAATCAGACTAAAACACAAGTACCAGCACTCCGAATCAACCATACGAATAAGAGCAGGAGGAGGAAGAGGAGGAGAAGGAGGACGAGAAGGAGGAGGAGGAGGAGGAGGGGTGGAGGAGGGGGGGGACGGTAGAGAAGGAAGGAGGGGTGGAGGAAGAGAAGTCATGAGGGAGGAGGAAGCTACAAGAGACGGGGGTGGTGTGAAAGACCGATCGCCGGCGCATCTGCTGACACGGCTGTTCAGGTGAGACCCGCCAGCTGCCTGCGTAATGTGGAGGCCCATGCCAAGAAACACTCTGCTTGCCTCCAGGGTGTTCTGGGTTTCTTGGGTTTCGATGGATTTGCGATGGAAATCGTGACGTACCCACACCAAAAGTCGATGGACGTCCTGGGGTCCCAGGGTTGGGTTTCTTGTGGAAGGTTCCTTGTGGACTGGCCTCCACTGTATGACTGCGGATCCGTGGCCGGGACGGGCGCAGGCGCGGGGGGGCGGTAGGGTCGGTGTTGGCATGCCGCCCTCCCCGCGAGCAGAGAGAGCGACGGTGGGGCCCCCCCCACGAGTGCTCGAGCGCGCCTGTCGACGGCCAGCCTGCCAGGCCAGAGCGTGGGACGCGGGTGGCAGCACCGATCACCAGTGCTGCCGCGCAGGACGTGGCTCGGCAATTCGGACGCGCCGCCGCGGCTGTCGCGCCACAGGGCAGCAGCACCTCGCTGAAGGGCGCAGCACCTTTCTGCAGGGCTTCGTTCCTCTAGCAAATGGCTCGTTCAAAGTAATGATGTGAACTTTCCGCTTCCTGTGATGGCTGCTGGGAATGAGCATGGTGGGCCTGCAAGGCCGACGGGGCAGCTTCATGCCCAGCCCGGCGTGCTGAGCAGAGGCGTGGGCGGCCTACGTGGCAAAACTGGGGGGAGTATTATGAAACATGCACACAAAAGGACCCTTAGTGGGTGGAACGAAGTCCTCCCCTCTCACTGATAGGGTGGCGTGACCCATGCGCGGGCGCTAGTGCCCGAGTGGGCGCGTGCGCCCCCCGAACTTCCAGACCGCCAAGCCAGTCACGCCCAGGGACGAAACTGGCAAGGGGGTCCAGAAGGAGCGGGGGAGGGCGCAATGGCCATTCCACCCCTGCGGCGAACTGAAGGGGTGTGATCCCTCCCCGAGGGTGCGGGGTGCCGGGCCGTGCGGCCACGCAGGGCAAAGTGTCGTTCTGCACGACAGGATGTCGCGAGCCCCAGAAGTGCTGTGGGGAACCGCTGTTGTGCACAGTGCCGTCCGCGACTCTTTCATGGTGGTCGTGGCACTGTTCGGATCCGCGTAGGGCTGTATGTCGCCGAGGTGCGCGTAGTCCTTGTCGGCAGCGTATGCCTGGCTGTCGACGTGGTGCTCGGCGCAGCTGTTGTGGACTTGCTGGTTTTGTTCGAGTGCGGAGGCCAGGATACCGCCGTGGTGCCCGATTCTGTCGTGGTTGACGCCGTGGCTCTGCAAGGCCGCGGGCGGGCCAACGGACGCGCGCGCGCGGCCAGGCCCGCCCCAATCGGAGGCGTCGCGTTGGCGCGCCGGCTGGCGGGTCCCAGAGGCCTGGCTGGCGGTCTCCGGAGCCCCCCCAAGGGCCCGGCGGCTGGCCCAGGCGCGCGCCAACCAGAGGCGTCGCGTTGGCGCGCTGGCTGGCGGGCCCGAGGTCTGGCCGGCGGCTTCGGGAGCGACCCAGGCGGGCCGCCCGGCGGCTGGCCCAGGCCCGCGCGAGGCGGATGTGTCGCGTTGGCTCGCCGGCTGGCGGGCCGCAGAGGCTGGGCCGGCGGGTGCGCAGCGCTGGTGAACGCAAGCGTGCTGCTCGACATGGTAGGTGAGGACACCGCGGGACTGGTGAACGGTGGGGCTGGACGCCGCTGTGATGCGCCTCGCTCTTGGGGTGGCCACCGCGGCGCCGCCCAACCGAAGAGGCCAGGGGGCCGTCGTGTTTCCTGGCGCCATCACGGAGGTCGCCGGGACCCTGTTGGGCACGGGTACGAGGCACGTGGCCTTGTTGGGCTGTGCTGGCCTCCGCTGGTCGGCGTGGCCGCCGTTCAACGGCCAATGGCCAATGGCCTGCTCGGCCCTGCTGGCCCAGGGGACCGCGTGCGCCTGCTGGGCCCTAGCCCTGCCACACGTCCGTTATTCTGCTTCTTCTCAATCTAAGAAGATAGCAACTTCGATTCGTAATCTTCTCTGGGGATCAAGAAGTGGCCTAGCCGCCCTTCTCCCCCGACCAACTCTGACTTGGCTGGAGACAGTCAAGACCAGGGGCTCAAGGGGGGGATGATTTAATGTTCCGGGGCGTGGGGGTAATGATTATACCCATAGAGGAGGATCCACCTCGAAGCCACCCGGGGTGAACATCCTGTCCCGGGGAAGGGGTCCAGATCTCTGGGGGTCACGCTGAAACACAACGTCGGGCGGATCTGCTCAGAGGGTAACGGGTCGACTCTGAATCTGTCGTTCGTCGCCGATCGGGGCCCGCTAGCCTACCCCACCTGCAGGACCAGGGGTTTCGCTTCCAGGGGCCTGTTGCCGCTCTATCGGCGACGTATCGCCGATTCCAGGCCGATGCTCTCCCTTCTGAGCCAGTCCCCAGTATTGCTCCCCCGTAGCCGCGACGTTGTAGCTGACCCTCGTCGTCGGTGCAGCCAGGAACCGAGGCATCAGGCGAGGGAGCTCGGTGCATAGACGCTCCCGCACCCCACGGGTGGGGCATCTGGGGCGCCTACACGTTCACCGAGCTCCTTGGCCGACCAGACGACTCGTACACCTCGAGCCCCTCCCAGGTCCTTCCCACCCTTCCCTCCTCCTCCCTCTTCTTCCTCCCACTCCTCCTCCTCCCCCTTCTCACCCTCCTCCTCCTCCTTCCCCTCCTCCTCCTCCTTCACCTCGTCCTCCTCCTCCTTCTCCCCCTCCTCCTCCTCCTCTCCTCCTCCTCCTCCTCCTCCTCCCTCCTCCTCCTCCTCAGGTGGGGGGCGCCACGGGCGCCCCCCCCACCTCAAGAGACGTCCCAAGAGACGCCCTCCTCCTCCTCCTCCTCCTCCTCCTCCTCCTCCTCCTTCTCCTCTTCCTCCTCCTCCTCCTCCTCCTCCTCCTCCTCCTCCTCCTGGGAACTGCGGGTGCGGACAGCTGGGGCTCGCAGCACGGCCTGGGCCGGCCCAGGCCGAGCGCGTCCCCGGCTCCGAGACCCCGTCGGGGGACCTCCGATGACCTCCAGAGGCCTCCGGAAGCAGAAATGAGCCTCCTTCGAACGGGGCCAGGACGAGGATAAACAAGGGCGCCCTCAAAGGGCGCGATGTTGTTTGCGCTTCGCGCTTCGCGGTTCGGCTCCGATTTCTCCTCATCCTCCTCTTCTCCCCTGGGAGGCGGCCCGAGAGCGCGAAGTTATTCGCACTTCGCGCTTCGCGCAGCGCGAAGCGCGAAGTTGGGAGCCCTTGACAATTCCATTCCAGAGCGTTCTGGAACGCTCTCAGAGCGTTCCGGAACGCTCTGAGAAGGCCGCGGTGGCCCGAGGTATCCTCCAGATCCGCCGGGTCTCAGGCATTCCCGATGTATCCTCTCCCGACTTTATCTTCGTCCTGGCTTCGTCTTACTTCTGGGATTTCCATGGAACTCCGACAGTTTGCAGGCATGCATGCAGGCAGGCAAGAGCCGCGCCCTGACGGCGCGTCGGCAGAAAGTAGAATGTTGAGTGCGTATCCGAAGCATGCATGCCGAAATATACGCGCGCCCCCCCCCAGAGCACCAGAAGATCTCCCGAAGCCTCTGCACGCCGTATGATGTTCCAACCTACTTTAGCTTTGACCGCCAGAAAGAATTTCGAGCACCAGGAAGTACCGAGACTTGAGGGTTTTCACGTGTCGAGCTCAGGGAGGCGAGATTCGTTCGACATTGTTTCGATAATTTTCCTGGGGCTCGTTTTTTTTGGGGATGTGGTCCTCAAGTACGATGGGAACAACATAACGCAAGCCTCGGATCTGCTTGTTCGGAGGTGTCTCCGGACCTCCTCGAAGGTCTCCCGACAGCCCCGAAGACCTCTCAAGGAGGAGGACGAGGAGGAGGAGGAGGAGGAGGAGGAGGAGGAGGAGGACGAGGAGGAGGAGGAGGAGGAGGAGGCCGCCGAAAGGCGTCTTCGACAGCAGCCAGTGGCCGCGCGCAGCCGAGCAGTCCCCGGAGGGCTCGGAGTGCTCCCCGCGGGCCCCCGAGAGGCCCACGGAGGCCTCCCGGCGGCCGCACCAGGCGGCTCCGTCGCCGCCCTCAACGGCAGGAAGGAGGAGCTCGCCACGGGCTCGGAGCTGCTCGGCAGGCGGGCCCGCCTCGTGCACAGCCGCCTCCGGCCTCTCCTCGTCCGACTCCTGCGCGCTCTGCTGCTTGCTCCTCCTCCTCCTCCGCCTCCTCCGCCTCCTCCGCCTCCTCCGCCTCCTCCTCCTCTTCCTCCTTGTCATCCCCTCTGCGCCTTCTCCTTCCCCCGCCTATGTATCTCTCCCCATCGTCCCTCCTCCTCCTCCTCCTCCTCCTCCATTCCTCCTCTTCCTCCTCCTCCTCCTCCTCCTCCTCCTCCTCCTCCCCCTCCTCCTCCCCCTCCTCCTCCCCCTCCTCATCCTCCTCCTCCTCCTCCTCCTTCTCCTCCACCCCATCCTCCTCTTCCTCACATCATAAGCTTCCTCATTCTCCCTTTCGGGCGTCGCCAGAGGTTACTCTGGCCCAACATGACCCGCAGTCGCCATCCTTCGTCGTCGTCGTCTGATCGTCGTCTGATCGTCGTCTGATCGTCGTCGTCTTCGCCGTCTCGTCGTCGTCGTCGTCGTCTTCTTCGTCGTCCTCGTCGCCGTCGTCGTGTGATCTTCGTCGTCGTCGTCGTCGTTGTCTTCGTCGTCGTCTTCGTCGTGTCGTCGTCGTCGCCGCCGTCGCCGCCGTCGTCGTCGGAGCCTTCCCGTGGGCGCGGGAGGGCCGCCGCGCTCCGGCGGGGACGGGTCTGCTCGCGGCGAGGCCTGCCCCCCCTGGGGTGTGAGGGCCGAGGGCGCCGCGGCGTCCCATGGGCAGTCCTCCTCCTCCTCCACCTCCTCCTACTCCACCTCCTCCTCCTCCACCTCGTCGTCGTCCTCCTCCTCCTCCTCTTCCTCCTCCTCCTCCTCCTCCTCCCCCTCCTCCTCCACCTCCGTCTCCTGCTCCTCCTCCTCCACCTCCTCCTCCGCCGCGGCGCCCCATGGGCAGTGCCTGGTCTTAATTCGGGCACGTCCCTCTACAGGAGGAATATCTCGAAACAGTTTAACAACAGTCAGCGGAATCTTTTTTGACAATTATCCTGTTCTGGAACATGTTTCGACCATGTTCTATTTTCCCCCCAAGCCCGCCTGTAGGAGGACATGCCCGACCTAAGCCTGGTCACTCTCCGACGCAATTGTTTGGATCCCTTGGCGACGACTGGCGTGACCTTTAGGGGCCCTGGAAGCGACAGGGCCGTTTTTTTATTCCGGTTCCGTTTCGCAGTTTTCTTGCCGTTCCCGTGGCCGTTATTTTTGGGGTTCCGTCGCCGATGTTTTCCCGATTTTGGCTCCGCTTCCAATCCGGGAGCCGTTTTCGTTGCCGTTTCTGGTCGCCTTTTTTACCATTTCCATTTTCAAGAGACATTTTTCGAACACGGTGACAAAAACGGCCCTGCCGTTTCGGGGGGCAATTAAGGGCGTGATTGATGGATGGAGTCGGGAGCCTTGAGACGGGGGTCGATGCAGACGGGGGCTCCGCCATCCTCAGATCTGCTCATTCGGAGGTGTCCCCGGACCTCTCGAAGGCCCTCCCGACAGCCCCGAAGGCCTCCGAGGGCTCTCCGAGAACCGCCAGACGGCGTCTGCGACGGCAGCCGATGGCCGCGCGCATCCGAGCAGCCACGGAGGACTCCGAGTGCTCTCCGCAGGCCTCCGAGAGGCCTGCGAAGGCCTCTGGTGGCCGCACCGGGCGGCTCCGTCGCCTCGGGGGCAGTGCAAACGGAGGGTCTCCTGGGCAGTGCTTGGGCCCTCTCGGAGACCCTGCCATCGCTCGGACGTGTGCGTTTTTTCCAGGTGGGGGCCATCTAGTTGCACCCGGGATCATCGCGCAACACGCACGCAAACGGAACATGCACGGGCAACGGGCGTCCAAGCGATGGGCAGGAGGCAAGCTTGGATCCCCTGGCGATCACGGGCGTGACTGGGGGATGGGAGTCGGGAGCCTCGAGGTGGGGGCCCACGCAAACGGGGGCTCCTGGCCAGTGTTTGGGCCCTCTTGGGGAGAAGTTTTGATCCCTTAGCGATAGCGGGCGTGACGGGGGCGGAGTCTCGGCGGCGAACGAGGGGGGGAAGGGAAAAGGAGAAGGCCTTCTCGGAAGGCGGCCTGACTTCTCAGAAGCCCTCGGGCCTTTGAGAAGTGTTCAGTGTCTTCGGGGAAGGCTCAGAAAACTTCTCAGAAGGCTGGGGGACTTCCGAGCCTTCTCAGAAGGCCCGCCCCCTCTCACTTCCCCTGCCGGTTTCGCCGCCGAGATACTGGCGCGACTGGGGTGGGGGTCAGTCGGGAGCCTTGCGACGGGGGTCACTGCAGACGCGGGTCAGCCAGGGCCCCAGATCTTGCAGGATGCTGCGAAGCCAGAGTGGCATTGCTCCTGGCGAGCGCGGCGCAGGATCCCTCACGATCGCGCAGGATCTTGCAGGATCCTGCGAAGCCTGATTGACCCAGGCTTGCATTGACTCGGGGCCAGTGCGTCCCGGCAGCGTCAAGATTCGCGCCGGCGCCGCCTGGGAATTTGTCCTTCGAGGCATTCCCAGGCGGCGCAGGGTCGAACTGTGACGTGACCAGGGGGGCGGCGGGGCCGGTCACGGGTGTGATCGCGAATTGTGAGAATCGGGCTCCTGTGAGGTTTTTTGGCCCGTTTTGGATCGAGGATCAAGGGTCGACAAAGAAGCCCGACCCTCGATCGTTCGGGAGAAAACATGTAGTTTTGTGTGCCTTTGGTCCTCTCTGGGCGTTCTCGGGCGCCCTTTCAGGCCTCTGGAGTGGGGGTCTTCAGGGGCGTCTGGGGACCTCTGGAGGAGTCTCGGGGAGACTTCGGGGGAACTCGAGAGGCCTCCTGGTGACTTTCGGAGGACCCATGCTTATCAGAGGCGCGAACAGATCGCTCTCAGCTTTCTCCATGTTTTGACGTTTCGGGGCCGTTTCTGGGCCCCCGGGCCAGGAGAAGTTGCCCTCTCCCTATCATCATCGCTGTCTTTCTCCTTCTCTTCCTTCTCCTCTCCACGTCCACCTCAGTTCCCTCTTCCCCCCCGCTTCCGCCTCTTCTTTTTCTTGGCTCCTCCTTCTCTTCGTTCTCTCTTTGTTTTTTCTTCTTCTTCTTATTCTTCTTCTTTTTCCTCATCTTCCTCCTCTCCTCCACTCCTCCACTCCTCTCTCTCCGCCTCTCTCTCCTCCTCTCTCTCCTTCTCTTCTCCTCTAATCCTCCTCCTGCTCCTCTTCCTCGTCTCCGTCTCTCTGAGGTCACCTGCTGGGCGCGAAGATAGTTGCGCCTCGTACATCGCGACCTAGGCCGCAGAGGTATCATTCTCCAGGAGGGCTCCGCAAGAATGCAACGCAATTGTGCGTTGTGCCTCACGTTGCGCGAAGCTCGACGCTAGTTGACCTGGCCTTCTCGAGATATGCTTCGTGGTGGCCTTCGACATTGCTTCGCAAGATGACTTGTTACAGGCAGCCGTAAATCTACGCGAGTGGATGCACAGGAAGAGGCGAACCCATAATGACATACACATGTGAGCAACGCGTGCACTTATAGGTGTATATTGTTACACTGAAGCAGTTGATCAGGTGCTCTTGACGATTGTGCCAAACGAGGGATGCAGCTGCAGCCACATGCCGATTTCCAGGGAACATTGCATTGACTAATGAGTCTGCCCCTTTTACGCGCAAGCAACAATACCAGCCCAGCAAAGCTATGCTGAGTTAGCCAACATGGAGTTGATCGGAACTGTGCCAAGCTGAGATCAATTCATTTGCGCGAAGCTTGGTCCAGCTCGGCTCGGCTCAGCTCTTGCTTAGGCCCTTCGGCTTAGTACCACAAGTTAGAATCCCACAGAGCCCCACGCCTGCGAGTCTAGCCGGGTTCCGCAACCTCCCATGGAAATACCGTTGGACTAGCCTATGGAGCGCAGCTTATATTTATTATTCGGCGTATGTGCTGCAGCGTCGTCGCCATAGCATAGACGTTACGTATGCTTGGAGGCTTGTTTCCGCGCTCCCAATCTGAATTGCATGAACCCTCGTGGTAGTCGGGGCTGGTGGCGTCCGCAGCTTTTCATCGTGCCTTCCGGGTAGCGCGTGAAGCCCAGAGTTGTGGATTTGGGTGGAACGTCGCGAGGGCAGCAGGGCCTACGGCTAGCACTGCACAGCTGCCGTGCCCAGCAGGGACGGCAGAAGACTGCCCAGCCGCCCAGCCTCCGCGTTCTCTGTCATGCCGCTCCATGCCGCTCTCCAGAGCGTCTCGGACCGACGGCCGACCCCTAGGCGTGAAGTGTTCGGTCTGCTCTGCCGTCCTCCTCCTCCCCCCCCCTGGCGGAGCAGCGTCGAGGGAAGCGAGGCGCGAGAGCGGTGTGCCGGCAAAGGGCGCAGGCAGGATGCAGGCGACGGACAGGAAGTTCCTTTGCAGCCGACGAGCGTGATTTCGCGCCGCCCGCCTGTTCCCCGTTACGTGTACTAGGCGTCATCCGCGGGGTCGGATGGCCTGGCGCCTCCAAGGTACCAGCACATGCATCTGTTCAATAGTTCCGTCGTGGCGCCCACTTGATTGCCTAAGGGGGGTGTTTCTTGCTGGCAGTCGTCGGCGAGCAGCCCACGGCCACGTCTCTGTGCGGACTTTGGCAGCATTGGTGGCGACCTCCTTGCTGCCAGCTCGAAATATGGAGACGTTTTCGAGTGGCAGATGATGAAACTATGTTGCGCGGTACAGTCTGTGTTGCAGTCAGATGCGGCGAAAGGGTTTGGCTTTTGGGTGGGTGAACATCGACGCAATGGTCTATTCATCGTCGATCGGGGCTTCGTTTTCCCACCATGTCTAAGGGGCAACGCAAGGGAAGGATATAGCTCAGGGGGAGACATCGACCCCCAATCGCCCATTAATCGCCGATAGGGTCCCGATAGCCAACCCCGCCCATGACCGGGCGATTTCGCCATCGGCTGCCTAGTGGCGATCTTTCGGACGCCTATCGCGATCTATTGGCGATGTATCCTTGTTTCCAGGCCGATGTTCGAATCCCCTTCGATTGTGTGGAATCCCCTCGTGCAAGCCGGTCTTCGCCCTCCTTCCCCACTACATTTCAGTTGTGCTGATGCTCCGCTCGTCTCCGCAGAAGTTCTCCCCTGTGCCTTGGCAAAGATTTGGCCTCTTCCAGCGTGGAGTGCGTCGTCCTGGAGCCCATCGGTCGTCGGCCTAGCTTCCTGGGCAGTCGGGCTGCATCCAGGCTGGGGGTCTGTCCCTCTGCTTCTTCGGAGGAGAAGACAGGGGAGAAGGAGGAGGAGAGGAAGTAGGAGGAGGAGGAGGAGGCAGAGCTCAGAAGCTCAGTGCTCGCCTGGCTGAGCTGAGCTGCCCGGTCGCCCGTGTACCTGCTCCCCTCCGGCCCTCCTCGCAGAGCAGGCTGAAGAGAGAGAGAGAGAGGCCGGGGCCGAAGCGCCTGGGGTGATGAGCTTGTTTTCCACCACCACCACCACCATAAGTTGGAGAGGGAGGGGGTTTTCCTCCTTCTCCTCCTCCTCCTCCTCCCTCCTCCCTCCTCCCTCCTCCCTCCTCCCCCCCCTCCCCCTCCCCCCTCCTCCCTCCTCCCCCTCCCTCCTCCCTCCTCCCTCCTCCATCTCACTCCTCCTCCTCCTGCTCCTCCTCCTCCTCGTCCTCCTTCTCCTTCCCCCCTCCAACTTGGTGGTGGTGGTGGTGGTGGAAAACAGGCCCATCATTGGAATCATGGGGAGCGGGAAGCGAGGGCCCCCGAAGTTCTAAAGGGGCCTAGGGACACAGCCAAACAGACACAGATCACAGGGTTCCCCATAGTTTCCCCATGTTCTCTGGGTGTTCGTCTTCCCCCCCAGACTTCCCATCTTTTCCCATCTGTTCCTGGGGATTGACGATGAATTGTGGCTGTGCGTTTTTTTTCCACTCCTGAGGAGTGGACCGCCGTGCCGGTCGGCCGGTGTGTAACGGGGTCCCTGGCGCTGGTCAGCCAGGCCCTCGGGGAATGAGTCGGCCCGTCGGTCCGCTGGGCAGACTGAGCCCCGAGCCACCGCTCCGGGCCGCTGGGCTGTTCTGCTCGCCTCCTCTCAATTGCAGTCGACCCGAATAGTAAGGGCAACCGGCTTTCCAAGGGTCCCCTTGCATTCTTTCCCGTCGGCCCATCCTTGGCCGCTTTCGCTGGCCGCACCCCGCTCGCAAAGCATCAGCATGGCCTTCCAGGGCCCTTGCATCCTTGCCTGCGGCCTTGTGATACGGGTTGGCCGTATCCGAGGGGGACGGGGACGGGTGATACGGGTGACGGGTGGTCGCCTCGACGGGCTGCAATCGGCGTCTTCCCCTCGGCGGCGAATTCCGAACCCCACCCTCGCTGTTCAACGATTCGGGCAACTCGATGGGCGGCGGGCATTTGGGTTCGGAGTTTGTCGACGGAGTGGGGTAATCCGAACCCTACCCCGCCTCCTATCGATTCATGGGAACCGCCGGTTGGTGGGGTAGGGTTCGGATGTCGCCACCTATCCCCACCGATGGCTCTCCAGCACATCGGCGATCTCTTACTCAGTTTGGGCCTGTTCACTCTCTGCTCGTCCAGTGGTCGTGAGACAGATTTCAGGTCCCCGAGTCTGACGTGTTATGGCACTTGTGCTGGATCTGCGATCGCCCGCGTCGAAGTAGAAGTCCGCTCGCCGCTGCCCGCGCCGATCGGAGGCACATCGGTGCCGAGGCAAGAAGCTGGCGCCTCGCGACTTCGTCACCACCGGAGTCGTGATCTGCCTGCAGGGCATGCTGTCGTCGCCGGAGACCTCGTGGGTGGCCTCCGCGAGGGCGCGTGTCGGCCGTTTGGGTTCTGAAGCAAGTTGGGCCTGCAGTTGTGAGAGAAGCGTCCATCATTCTGGGGTGTTCTGCGTCAGAACCCCAGAGATTGGCGTCGCGCTGATGCCGCCCCGATCTGCCAGACCGCACATGCACAGATAGGCATAATATGTGTTTCAACGTTTGTTTCATGACCCTTTCTGTAGTACAATCGGGGCGCTGAAGAAGGAACCCTTTTCGTTGGGGAGGGGCTCGGTATTCCTTATTTTTTTCGCAGCTTGCCTAAGATGTTCCTTAAGTTTCCCATGGGGAATCGAAGTTTAACTTCTGGGAAAAAGGGGCCTCGTTCCTTATTTAGGGTTCCTTAGGTCAACGCCCCGACTGTAGTAACAGAACCACGCTGGAGACCAAGTCCTGCCCTGCCTCCCGCTCCAGGCGTGCGGGTGCGCCGAGGCCGGGCCGCGGTCGCTTTGGCAGAGTCCACACGACGTGGCCCTCGGACCCCCCTCTCTGGGGTTCTGCACGCCGCCGCCCTCGCGTGCGGAGAGAGGCCGTGCGCCCTGCAGCACTTGGAGCCCACTGGGTTCCGCCATGGCCTCTTGGAGCCCCATTGGGGTTCCGCACGCACGTGGGGCCTCTGCACTCCTGGCGTGCGGGGATCCCCCTCTCTGGGGTTCTGCACGCCGCCGCCCTCGCGTGCGGAGAGGCCGTGCGCCCTGCAGCACTTGGAGCCCATTTGGGTTCCGCCGTGGCCTCTTGGAGCCCCATTGGGCTTGGCATCGCTCGGACGTGTGCATTTTTCTTTCGGCGAGGACAATCGAGGAGCATTCTTGATCATTTGGCGAAAAAACCACGCACGAAACCGAAAAAACCGAGGAAATGGACGTCCGAGCGATGGCCAGACGGGGGTTCCGCCGTGGCCTCTTGGAGCCCCATTGGGGGTTCCGCACACACGTGGGGCTCTGCACTCCTGGCGTGTGCATTTTTTTCTCGGCGAGGACGTGTGTTTTTTTTTCCGGCGAGGACCCTTGAGGACCATCCTGGACCATCGAGCGAAAAAAACACGCACGAAACCAAAAAAAAAACACAGGGAATGGACGTCCGAGCGATGGCCAGCACACGTGGGGCTCTGCACTCCTGGCGTGCGCGTGAAATCCCAGTGTGTTGTTCAACTCGCAGCCGGTTCCGCACACAGGGGGTTCCACACCACGCGCATGGGGTTCCACGTGCCTGGGTCTCCGCACGCAGCCATGCGCTTTCACACGGATGCGACTCCACGCGCACGGCGTTCTTTGCACACGGTGGTCCACATTTGGGATTGTACTCACTTGCAGTTCAGATGCATGAGGTTCACTCGCATTGGGTTTCGCTCAATTGTGGTTCGACAGAATTTCACGGGTCCGATATTCGGGGTCAATGAGTTTCTTCATTGCTGATGTCTTACGCTCATCAGGTGGTTTTCTGCTATCATGTGATTGCGGCTCATGCTATGTCAGTGAAGGAACGTACACATGTCCAGCGCCTGGGGAATCGATGGCTCAGCACTCGAGGATGCAGTGGGTGAGGATATTCTGGGGCCCTGGGGAAGGCCCCAGGACATCCAGATTCACTGCCTCCTCGGGTCGTGGGACATCGGTCTCCGAGGCGGCTGACATGTAGAATGTCTTGCCTCGCAGGAAGGAGGGCGACCGAGGCAACAGAGGGCTCGTAGCGGCTGCACATGTCGTTGTGTTTACAGCCGCGGTTACCCAAGGTTCCCTCATGAGCGATCCAGACGAGTTGCACTTTGAGGGGCGTTATACCTTTGAGGTCATGTGGACGTTGCCTGATAGTTCTCACAGCGGCAATTGTGTTTTTTGGAGGATATACGATTCCAGACTCCCCGCGAACTGATTTTGCTCATCCCCACTTGTTTTTTCACGGATTTCGGTCATGGTTTACTGATCTGAGATGGAACGTGCTCCTGGGAAAGGGTTCGAGACTTCTGGACCCCCCCCCGGATTTGTACACTCACATCGTTGGGCATTTGGGGTTGCTTCCACAACAATTCTTTGCATGCGGCTTTCGTGCGTCACTGATCGACGTGAATCTAGTCTAATCAGCATCATTGTTTCTGCACGGTTTAGTTGTTCGGCCATTCTTCGTTTGCCACTCTGATGTTTGCCAATGCTGTCCATTGAGGTGCCAGTTTTTCCGCGCCAGTAGGGACCGGGGGCGGCCCCGGGCGCTGCCTGTAATCTCCATGGGGGGTGCAGGGCGCCCCCGGGAGCGTCCGAAACGTCCCGGAGGGCCCCTGGGACCGCCAGGAACAGTTCGAGACCGCCCCAGACGGCCTGCGAGCGCTCCAAGACGCGCATAGAAAGCCTCAGGAATGGCCGGGAAGGCCCGAAGACGTTCCGAGAGAGGTCCATGAGGCCCCGAAGGCATCCCAAGAGGCCTCCCAAGAGAGCGCAGACAAGCCCAAATCGTTGATTTTGATTTGTTTTCCTAAGTTTTTGGCCTTTTCGCTTTTTCGGGGTTCCGACTCTCCAAGACCGTCCAAGAGTCTCCCAAAACCGCACCAAGACGGCCGAAGAGGCCCCCAAGATCGCCCCAAGACGGCCCAAGAGACCCCCAAAATCGTCCCAAGACGGCCCAGGAGAGCCCCAGGATGGCCCAGGAGCCGCCCAAGACGGTTCCAGGAGAGCCCCGACAGGGCTTCAAGATTGCCTAATTAAGCGAACCCAGCGGGCCCCAAGAGGGCCCCGCGAGGCCCCAAGAGGCCCCAAAGAGGCCCCCAAGAGCCTCCCTGGAGGCTCCCAAGAGGCCCCCAAGATGCCCAAAAATGGCCCTGAGCGCGCCCCAAGACGCCTCCGGGAGAGCCCAACAGGCCTCCGAGAGGCCCCCAAGAGGCGCACTGGAGACCCTCAGGAGGTCGTCCCCATCATGTTCCCGGAAGGCGGTCCGGGAACATGATTCCGCGCCTTGGAGGAGTGTTCTGCGCCTTCCGAGGGGCCTTGGACGATGTACGATTCATATTCTTGAACGCTTTCCGGGAACATGATTTCACACCGGTTCGGAACGCTTTCTTACTGCTGCGGTGCTCTCGGGGGAGGGGACAGGGGTCCGGGAACATGATCGGGAGGTTAGGGAACGAGGGTTTGGAGAGGAGCAGTAGGACAGACGGACGGGGCCCGCAAGACGGCCCCGATACGGCCAGGGGGGGCCGGGCCGGTGCCGTCATATCCCCCTTGGGCGTCCCCCGGAACCTTTGGGGGGTCACAGACCCCTTGGGACTACCCCGGGCCAGAGGGCCTTGAAGAGGCAAACATCGGCCCATTCCTTCTGTAAAACGTACATTTTCAGCATACTCGCTGGCTTCGTCTTCAGCGCCCAAGACGCCCCCACGGAGCCCCAACACAGCCCAAGAGAGACCCAAGAGGGACCCAGACGGCCCAAAAGGGTCGGCCTGTGGGGCTCACGGGACCCCACGGGACGGCCCAAAAAGCGCCAAAGCCGGCCCGGGAGGCCCCCAAGACGCTCTCAGGGAGGCCCAAGAGGGCCTCGTTCGAAGTCATGTTCCCGGAAGCCTCTCCAGGAACACGATTTCCGCGGTGCGGGCCTCTGTGCCAATTGTATCATCCGCGTTGTATTGCAAGAGAGCCTCTCCTGGCCCATCAAGCCTCTCCCGGATCATGTTCCCCGAAGCCTCTCCCGGAACATGATTTCCCGGCTCCCAGAGTGCCCAAGAGGCCCATAAGACAGCCTCAGCGAGGCCCAAGAGGGCCCGAGATGGCATTTTGGCTCAAGCCATTTTGGCTCAAGCCGTTTTGGCTCGAGCACCCGCGCCCGCGCAGGCGTCCGAGCGCCTGGGGGACCCACGAGCATCAGCAGAAGTGCCCCCCGAGCAGGTGCAGGGCGCGCCTCGCCTCCGCGGGCGCCCCGGAATGAGCCGGCGCGCCCCGCAGGGGCTGCTGCGGCCCGCGGCGGCCGCGCCCAGCGACGCAGACGCGGAGCTCGAGGCACCCTCTACGGACAGCGAGCCGAGCAGCCCGGCGCCCAAGCGCGCCGACTCCGCGCGGGCCGGGTGCAGCTCCGGGTCGCCGCCGCCGCGGGCCGCCTCCACGGGCGGATCGAGCGGCCCGACGGGGCCCGCCTCCTCGGGCACCAGGACATCGAGCTCGAACTCAAGGTCGCAGCGCCACTGGAAGATGTACCACCAGCAGCAGCGGAGCACCAGCAGCTGCAGCGCCGAGGACTTGGAGTCGAGGGTGGAGGCGACTGGCGACCGCCAGCCTCGGCCAGATTCGGGCGGCGACCAGCAGCCCGCGTCCCGCGGCCTCTGCCGCGGCCGGGCGGCGCGGCGGCGGGCGCTGCGCGGAGCGGTCGCGCGGCGCAGCGCGGCGGCCGCAGGCGGAGCCTCGTCGAGCGCCGCCTCGGTGTGGTGGCAGGGCCTCGGCAAGCACCCAGCCGGCAGCGCCGCTTCCAGCGGCGACGCCTCCGCAGAGTCGGGGCGGGCGGCGGACCCCAGCGGGGGCGCCGAGCAGCGGGCCGCGCGCGGTCAGCCAGCGCGGCGGCGCGGGACCCACGCCAACCCGCATGCCGCGGCAGTCGCTGACCTTGATGCCGGCGCAGGCGGTGTAGCAGCCTCGCTGTAGCAGCCTCGCCCCTCGCGTGTTCGCCAGGAGGAGCCCCGACGTTTTCGGCGCGCCGATCCAAAGAGTGCAGATCGGACAGCTCTCGCACCGCCTATTGCAGCTGGTGGAGAGAGGTCAAGTGACACTGGAGGCGACACTGAGGCACCCTGGCGTGGCTTCCGCTGGTCTCGTTCTGCAGCCTCCAGTTCAGAGGCAGAGGGGGAGGGTGACCGACCGCAGGAGTGTCGCCGCCACGGGCCGGCTGGGCCAGAGGCGCGCGGCCTTGCGCCGCACCTATAGCCTGTGCGTTCTGCTGAATTTTTGAATGCCCCAACTCATCGGGAGTTGGGGCATTCAAAAATTCAGCAG